CTTCTTCCAGACGACTTCGCCGTCTCCAATTTTTTTCGGCGCGTTTCCCGTGGAATCCCGGAAACCGGGGCCCTGCCTAGCTCCCGCGGCGAAAGTTTCGCGGACGGATTACCGAGGCGGTAAATCAATAAGATCGGTAAAGTTTTCCCCGGGGGTAAAGTTGTTATTAAAGATCAGAGGGTAAGAGGGACGTGGAAAAGTAGGAGGAAGAGGAAGACTCGTTGGCGGCGCGGCTCGGCTTTCCGGATACGTTTCTTCGGGCTCGTGACACCCGGTAGGCGAGCGGAATAGCTTATAAATGGGCCGCGGGGGTGCAGGGGGTTGCGGAGCCGGTGAAAAAGTTTTATCAGACATCGAATGCCGGTGGTTCGGGGGCGAGGCACGGGCACGGGGGAGGGTAGTTTGGCTTAGTTTCAGTTTGCCCGTCGAGGGAAACCCCGGCCGCGGAATTATATCAAGCAAAAGTATCAAGAAATACGTTCCCGAAGCTTATTGCTGTTGTTTTCAACTGAAATAATGGCGCTCCTCGTGCCCTGTCCGCTGTGAACCTCGATACCGGGTGTCTCGATCAAATACTGGGGGTTGCTGTTTGGCTGCTTTCCAAATGCCACCCATTATAACGCGAGAGATACGTTATCATTTGAATTTTATGGTTTATGGGGTTGAGGGTAAATGGGTAGTTAAGTGCAGAGTTCATTTAACTCTCTTTTAATATTGAGCTTGATGTGTATTGAGCTTTGGAGATCGAAGTTTTACACATTCGAATAGGAATTAAGTATTTAGCGAAGGGGATGTAGGTCTACTGCGAATATAGATGTACTGTGAATTTTTGTAGTTATTGAGATTTAGTATTAGTAAGTTACAAAGTATATCATTAGTCAGGATTAATGTAAGAAATATGAAATTGTCTTTATTACGTGTATTTGCATAGGTGTAGAATAACTCCGAATGAAGAAATTTCAATAACTCGAAACTTGTAACACTTCAAAGGAGACGAGCACGGTAAAGCAATTACAAGCAATTACTTCCGCTGGCTCTAAAGTGCCTTAACAGCTTGAGTTATTGAGACAAAGCATTTGCATCTCTGACATTTATCGCCATGTTTTTATTCGAATCGCGATATAGAGGAGCCGTAATGTATTCCATTTCTCGCGGCTCGATGAAATATAATTTAGAAGCACGCGCATCGCGAGCTGCGGAATCGAATTTCTTCGGCTCGTATCCGCCGGAATTTCAACGGTTTTTCCCTCGCGCTCGTTAGTCGGGAACGATAATCTCAACGGCAGGTTATTCGAGCGAGGTTCCGCGGGTACGCGTCTCTTGATTCGAGGGCGAGAGGAAGGCATTATTCGGTCACGTGCGCGACGTTCTCTGGTCACTGAACGCCACGTGCTGCTATTTGTTGCTCCAGCCACGACCTCGCGTCGAACCTGCAGGGATGCAAACGATCCGATTACGAATACGATGCTGAAGAATGTTGAGATTTTCGTAGAATCCCGTACAATTCGGTTTCGATGTTTTTAACTGGGGGAGTCGTAGGAATCTTTGGGGAATTTTGGTTTTAATTTTAGAAATATTTTCGAGGCTGTTCTAACAAACTGAATAAGAATTTATAAAAGTTTTATAGTGCAATATGCAATTTGTTCGATAATACAAAAGATTATCTTTCTAATCGAACACTCAAGAAATTTAAACAGTCTAAGGAAATTAATAGTAAAGGTATCGATTGACGAAATCGTTTTTAATGTTTCGCAAAGAGTAGATCAAACGTTCATTTTGAAATAAATCCAGTATCTTCTGATTTAATCAATTTCAAAACAAATTTGAAACTTAACCCTTAGCACTCTAGGTTGTTTTGTAATCTATCAGCAACTGTAACTAATTTTTATAGTATCCCTAACGAAAATGAAAAATGCTATAACATTCCTTCGATCTTTTAATTTCCTTCTCAGTGCAAAATTTGGATGTGTGGTAAATCTAATAATTTTAGGGTAGTTTCTTTAAGATTCATTAAAATATTTAATATTACAACTGGTGCAGTATTGGAGCCCTCAGAGTTCAAAGGGTAAAATACTTCCTCCCATTTTGAAATTTTCCATTTTTACTTGAAAAAATTGTAAATTTTAGAATTTCTGTATTTCATGTATTGATATATCCTAGTAAAACTGAATATTTTAGTCAATTATAAAATAATCATTCTAAAGAAGATGATGTTGTTCGTCTGGTAATTTTAGTGTTAACAAAAAACGTTCTTTCTGTTGCAGATGGGAACGCCGCAGGAACGGGTCCCGGAGATCCATGGACGGGCGGCGGCGGCGGAGTCCAGCCCCCGTACAGCGGATACGCACCTCCTCACCTGGCCCAGCCAGCTTACCCCATGCACCTCCCCCACGACCCCATGGTAAGCGAGTCTTTTCTCCCTTCAGCGTTTCTTTCTCTCGTTTGTGCACGGCACCCTTGTCGGCCGGCGGCGATCAATCACGCGTGACTACGCTCGTTTCTTCGGACCTGACGGTTCCGGGAACCCCGTGACAGACAAGAGAACCTCCCCCATAATTTCTGTCGTTGGTCTGCCAGCTGGCGACGAAATCGCTCGATTAGAACCTCGCTAGTTATCTTCGCACCCGAAGCTCGATCTTCCCGGCGAACGTTCCCCGTTTGCCTTTCACAGGGAAATTTTTCAGGGTGAATGGTCATTCAACCCTTTGTGTTCTTTGAGATATTTTGACAGTGTCGATCGTTTTTAAATCGTAACTGTGGAGTCTTATGGAAACGATATTCTTGAGACTTAGGGGAGATTGGAATTTGATGAATTTTTAGATTCTTTATGAGTGGTTTTGAAAAAAGGATTTGGAGCACTGTTTAGTTCTATTGAATTCTTTGTTTTAACTGTCCATAGAGATTTCTGTCTCCTTCGTCTACAGTTCTACAACAATCATCTCTTCTATTATTTAATGTAAGAAAACTATAAGTATATTACCTATTCAACTCCACTCTCTAAACATTTCAAAAACCCACCCTTCTCATTTCCCTTCCCCAATCCTCAAAACTAATTCACCGATACCCAAACCAACTGAGTACTTTCCTCAAGCGCCAACCAACCCCCTTAATCCATGGGCCGCGAGCACGCGAGCGAATATATTTCAATCATCATAAATTTCCCGGGCTGTTTCCCCGACTCCGACGACGAGTTTCGACTCGTTTGACACTGTCGGATTCGCCGTTAACTCCCACTAGGTCAGCCTCCCGGCGACTTTAATCCTCTTCACGCAGATATCCAGAGGCGCGTGACCAGCTGGCCGAATCTCCTCGTGATCGTCTTGTTTCGCCTCCGAGAGTGCTGGCCCGATGTCGCCGGCTTCCTCTGTCCCTCTGTCCGACGGCGGTTGAGAGACACTGTTGACAGTGTACTCTGAGCAACGTGAAATGACTCAGTGGCTTCTATATATAGAACGTGTTCCTCCCGCTACTCGGTGTTTCTAGTCAAGTGCAGCCTTCGTTTGATTTACGCCGTTCATGGCTACCACGAAATCCTCCGATCTCCCCCTGCCTCTCCCCCTGTTTCTCTGTAGGGTTCGCCATAACTGCGCTCCCGTGCAGCAACCCCCATGGAATCCAGACCCGACGCACCCTAATTGAACCCGCCGGAATCTACTCCATCAAATCTATCAATGAAACGTCTCCGCGATGCTCGTGCTCTCGTTCGATCATTCCGCTGGCCAAGGGATTTTTGTAACCGGAGAATGTTGTGAGGGGTGTGTCGGTTGTTCGCCGAGTATGCTCTCCTTTTGCCGGCGAACAACACGCGAGAGCTGCTTGTAGAAGGGTTGGAATGTTTTGAATAGTGTATGGCTTGTTTTACGGAGTACGAGTTAATGGCCGGCAATATTTCTTTGCCATTAACCCTGCTTATTATATTATTTTATCCGCTACTTGAATAATATTGAAGCGGATTTGTGATTTTATGGTAGTTTTAAGGAACTTTCATCGATACTATTTTCTTTTTATTTCTACGCAATATTATACAAAGAAGCATGAATTTTAAATTCTCACGAAATTTAATTAGAACCGTAAATTATAAATACACAACAGTATCAGTCGCGAAACTTGTTCGGAAGCCTGCTCGAAATCCTCTCGTACAAGCTACAAAAGTGTATTTCTTAATATTCCAACGGACGTTTCACAGGCGACATTACTAACCCAACGTGTTCAACAATTTCCGAGCGAATCGCCCATATCTTTTCATAAATTTCACCAGTAAAACTCGGAAACGCGTCACTCCGAGCCATTCGTTAGGCCTCGAACATTAACAGCCCAATCCCCGTGAGCAATGTCCCCGGCGATTTTCGACGGGCCAGACGAAAAACGCGCGTGTACGAGACACAGGAGATCATCGTGGTCTCGTTATCGCCTCGTTCTTCCGTTCGTAAAGCGAACAATTAACGACGCGGCGACGGTGGCGGCGGGCGGGCGGGATCGTGAAACGTGCGTCGAGCGCAGCCCGAAAACCCCCTCTAATTTGTTGATAAATACTCTTCGGTGTTCGGGCCGGGACCGACGCTTAAAATTAGACGTTTTACGAGCGGGCATCACGTTAGGTGCGATGCGTGCGTGCGTGGACGCACGCCACTAAGCGTATCCGATATCAAAGCTACCCCCGTTGCTCCATTACGAACCCGAGAAGAGACAGAGAGAGAGAGAGAGAGACACCGGAAAGGTCGCGGGAGGACCGAATCAACGTCACCGGGGAAACCGGTCCGCGATGCGTCCCGCGAGAGGCAAGCTTTGTCTCGTCTCGAGTTTCTTTATCGTCGAAGTTGGAACATGGTTTCACGCCGGTGTCCAGACAGCAGCGGCCGGCTATGATGTTTGCAGAACGGCCGGCTTTGATCTTCCCGGAAGATCTAATTCGTGTGTTTACGGAGATTTCTTGTAAACATTCTCACTCCGCGGATTTTAAGGAGCAGTGGATATGTTCTGCGGTTCTGGGTGTCGGAGGGTGTCTTTGGTTATTTTCGGTGAAATTGTGCTTCATTCTGCGGGCGAAAGTTTGAACAGATGGTTCGAACGGTTGGGGCTTCGGTGGATTTCTTTTTTGGAGAAAGGGTCATAACTTGTCGTTGAGGTTATGTTGATCCTTATTTGTAGTTTTTTTCTATATAATGCGTGAATATTTGTTGACTTGTTACTGTTGGTGTGTTCTCTGGGTAACTTTAAGTCTTGGTACTAGAAGTACCGAGCTACATTTTTTATAAAATCCACAAGTATATTCATTACAATCTTAATTAATATATATTTAAAATTCTTTCATAAACAGTTAACAGTTTTAGTATTAAAATGCGTGAGGTATTAATTCAATGAAAAAGTATCTGTCTTTAATTCAGAAGTGATAGGCCTTTTCGATTTTTATGAATGATACATTCTTCATAGAGTTAGTCTGCCTTTAAAAGCGGGGGATAATAAGTCGGCAGAGAGCAAAACAGTTAGCAGTTAATGCGTTCATTGGTGACTCATGTGATGTTTTCCGCTGATGTTGCTCCCGATTCCGGATTCACGGAATTAATATCTGGACAATTGCAGGCGTACTCGGCCATGTCACCGAACGGAGAACCGGCGGCGCCGATTCTGGGCTCGGCGGTGACCAGTGCGGCCTCACTGCCACCAATGTCCACATTCCGGGGTAGCGGCGCAGTTGCGGCGAACAGCGGTACCGGTGCACCATCCCCGGCGTCGTTGCAATATAGTCATAGTCCCGGTGCACCGACGACCGCACCCTCCGCGCCCAATTCTGCACCCACGACGAACCAGCAACCCGCCACGGGGGACAACCTCGGCAAGACTCTCGCGTCTGTAGTCAGCACCAGAGTGAGTATATTCAAAATGATTCTATTTGCTTAAAATAATTGGTCAATTTTAGAGCTATTCAGTAGTACATCGATCAGTTATTTTATTAATTTGATTATAGAAATATTGAAGCGTTTATTGACGTTGAGTGACTTATATTTTAAAAGATAATATTAAACAGTACATTCAGTAATTCAGAAAAATATCTGTAGCTTTCTAATAATTGTAAAAATATAAGTTAGAATTAGGTTAGTTTGAATTATACAATGGTTTTAATGCCAAAAGAATAGAATGGGAGGAGGAAAGTTAAACTTGAGTGAAATTTGAAATTCAAAATTCGAGGTTAGAAGTATTAAACTTTTAGTATCAAATTTATATGTAAACTATTAAGTTTACTCAATAGAAAATTTGATAACATTTGAAAATTGAATATTCAAATTTAGACTATGAGTATACATTACCTTTATCGCAAACGTAAATGTAATACTTTCGCATCACTTCCGCCGTAATTTCCCCGTTACAACGAACGAGTACATTGACTCAAATACCTGTCAGCTGTATTTATGGAACTATATCACGTCCGTTGCCACCGTCTCATCTTTTCATAATTCAAAGAAGAAATTACACGCTCCGGCAGGCTTTCCTTTGATGTTCTAAAAGTCTTTCAGTGCTGGGGGATATCCTCTTTCCCATATATCTTCATCACTGTGGCGAAGTTGATCAAACTTTGTGCGTTTCTTGACCTTGCAGATCTACCCCACGGACCAATCAGTATCGAGTTATAGCAGCAACCCATCGACGCCAGTCAGTTCGCCGCCACCTTTGACGGGTTCGGCGCCAGGCTGGGCAGCAGGTGCTGCACCAGTGTCTCCGCACTTCACGGCGGATCCCAACCGCGGAACCATTCACATGGTATGCACTCAATGCAACTACGATATCATTATTTATTTCACGTTTATACAGTTCACTTGTAACATTCTTCACCCGGCCACTTCCAACGGGACTTTCCGACTTAAATTCATTCATGTAACACTGGCTTCGTAGAATCCGTCAATTTGACGAATGTAATTCATCAAAATTATTCGATCGAACTTTGCATCAATGTTTATTGATTTAATTATTCGTGTCTTAATTGTCTATTTTTGAAGCTCTAATTTTCACAATCTATGTAAATACTTATATTTCTAATGCGTTGAAGTGTACAATAAATGTATATTTGGTGTTAGAGAAAAAGAAAAAAAAATGAGAATAGAAGATTTTTGTAGGATTTTTGGGATTTACGATCTCGATCGAGTTAGGGGATTCGGATAATGGGATTCTCGTTGGAAAGTGACGGGTGCATCCTCGAACGCAGACACGCTTCATCACCGTTTCGGTGCGCTTTAGAAACAGGTCAAGGACGTTCGTAACAGAAACCTCTCGTTGGCTCGTTCACTATCTCTTTTGCGATATTCCGTCGTGTGCACTGAGACGAGACGCGTTTTAAACCACCGTTTGTCACCACGCAACTGACTGACTTTTCGTTTCGCTCGGGGGAGGATCGAGGCGCGGCTCGAACGATCGGGTTAAAGCCACGCGAACCGCTGAGGGAGTTCGAGCACACACCTGGACAAAATGTTTGTTGAGACTCGTTTGTACCAATCAGATTTTCCCGTTGCTTTTTTAACCCCTTGCTTCGTGGTTTCTTTCGCAACTGCTCTCATATAGAGTAATTTTATCTTGAACTGAAAGGTAAATCACACTTGCATTTTAATATTCAATCCATAAATTCACTGTTTAGTATAATTAATACTATTTATTACAATTTATTATTTGATAAAGCCTCTACAAATGTATTATTTTATTTTCAATATTTTACTAAAATAAAAATCGAATTTTCTGTCTATTATAATCGGTACTATTTCTATTATTTATTATGTATTAAAGTCTACAAGTACAAATTCAAATCTGAACAGTATACCTTGATTAAAATGGAACGGTTGCATATTGTCTGTAATTATTCAGTTCGATGCGAAACGTTCGCGCATTCCGCTCGATGAAACAAGACAAGGGGTTAATTACACGAAATCAAGAGCGCGCTTCGCTTTCTTTAATAAAAGTGTCGTAACACGCCGGTGAACAACCGCGATTGCCCAGAAGCGTCGGAACACGAATTTCATTATCATTCGAGTGGAGTGTAACTCAAGCTTAATTAATTGGTACCACAATAGCCTGGTAACAACAAGATTAATCGCGTTCACGCTGTGCGTTAAATGCGTCCGCATAGTTTCTGAAGTGACCATGCAAAACGTTTTCTGGGTCAACAGTCGCGTTGCACCGGCACGGAAGTGCGTCCAAAACGCGTGCACGGTCCCAAAGGGTGGGAACGAATTTCCAAGCGCCGAGACCTCTCTCTTGCACTCTCGCACCTGTGAATCAGGGCTGACCGCCGGAACCGTTGAGATTGTCACGTTTTCTTTTCACTTTACTTTGATTTAATTGTTCCTTTCTCCGTAACGATTAATTCCAATTGCAACCGCACCCAAGTAGCATGCACACCAGATGCATCAGAAAGTTTCACCCACCCGTGTGTACGCATTATTTTCTTACTCGTG